AAAAGCCTTCCAAGTGTGACCATGGCGTAAAACGCACAAAAAACCGGCTAAAGAATAACAGGAAAAAATCGGTCCCTGGATCTAACAGAACACAGGATAGTATCAACAGAGGGAAAGTCCGAGGGAGTACGGGGAAAAGTGTTCCACAAGGCCAGTACTCGCTCCCACTTGTTTTTCATCCCATTTTGAATTTTACTAGGATGTCAGCCACAGCACCGTGTCTTCCTTTCAGAGGGCCCCGAATTGCAAAAAAAAAATTTTCTTCCATTGCAGACACTGCAAGGCTCCTGGGGACATCAACCAAATCTTCAGTGGGGGTCAAAAAACAATGAAGTTCAACATGAGAAATTTTTAATTATCAGTATAGTAAAAAAACCAGGAAATTAAAACTTTCAAGAACAAAACAAATTTGGCCACAAAATAGAGCGAAACACCAACGTCAAAGACCTGGGATGATATGTCGGGGATCTCACCTTTAAAGGGCCATAACATCGTATCAAACGCATCGCTAAAAAAAGACAGGGTGGATAATGGAAAACCCTTTAAAAAGGGAGGCCAAGCCCATATGAACTCTTCAGGTCATTTTTATCTAGGGTGGAATAATTTTCACACTAACGCATTTCAAGGAGGGGGAAAAGCTGACCTAAAAATGTACAGAAACCTTCCGGCGCATAACGGAGATAAAACACCTCAATTAATGGGGTGCTTGAGGTTTCCCAACCGTATTCCCCGGAAAAGCACGGGAGAGATACATGTTTTATACACCGGAAAATCTGAGGGGCTAGTACCCAAATTGCACACGAAAATCACTCCTACGAAACAAAAAATTGGCAGACGATGCAACATCCCCCCCCCTGAAAAGCGGGGTGTCACTAGCACGTTAAAGACCATCCCAAAAAGGTAGGGGCCCCAGATGTTCAAATGCCTCTCCACACAAGGGGGATTCCAACAGACCCTGGGGTTTCAACTGGGATGGACAAACCCTAAAGTCGGGTTCCCGACAGCCGGGGGTGTGGCCCCGTACGTTGGTTTGCGTGCACCCGCAGTGAGCCTGGTTGATCAGGCTTGATCCACCAAGGGCCCGGTCACAGACCCGGGCCGGGGGGCGTTGACCCCCCGGAAATTCTCCCGGTAAACTCCAGGTAAATCCCCTTTCTGAGTGCCAGAAACAAACGGTTTCCCCCTTTTTTACTCCCTGAACCGTTTCTGGAAGGAAAACCCCTGAATGGGTTTTTAAGTGGACACAAAAACAATCGCGGGTGTTACCTTGAAAATTGTCTATACCCAGGAAAATCGCAAGCAGTGAGACAATCAAAAAAATTTTTTTTTATTTTTATTATTACCTGGAGTTTCCTGGAAGAGTTCCCGGGGGGCACCCCCCCGGGGCCCGGTCTGTGACCGGGTCCCCACTTCCCCAAAACCTCTAACTCTCCATTTAATAAAATCTCCTTCCTATTTTTAAAAAGTCAAATCCCTTTTTTCCCTGGCTTCCCAAAATTATTAATCTCCTCCCAAAAATTTTTTTTATTTTCAACAAAAAATTTTTCGTAAATTTCACCCACTTCTCATTTGCTCTCTTTTTCATTTCTTTTCCCACTCTCTTAACCTCCTTTTTTGCCCAATACTCTTTCCCCCTTGCTCACTTTTACTTTGTAAAAAACCTCTCATATGCTAAATTTTTCTTCCTTACTACTCTCTTTACATTATCATTCCACCAATTCCTCTTCTTCCCTCCCGCACCCACTTTCCTGTAACCACAAACTTCTGCTGAACACTCTAACACTACATTTTTAAACCTACCCCATACATCTTCGAACCCATTGCCTATACTCTCACTAGCCCATCTATCCTCCAATAGTTGTTTATATCTTACCCTAACTGCCTCCTCTTTTAGCTTATACACCTTCACCACTCTCTTACTTGTTGCTTCTATTTTCCTTGTATCCCCTCTACCTTTTACTCTCACTGTAGCTACAACTAGGAAGTGATGTGATATATCTGTGGCCCCTCTATTAATATGTACATCCTGAAGTCTACTCAACAGTCTTTTATCTACCGATACATAGTCCAACAAACTACTGTCATTACGCCCTATATCATACACTATCTTGTATATTTATTTATCCTCTTTTTCTTAAAACACGTATTACTTATAACTAAACCCCCTTTCTATATAAAGTTCTCCCATTATCATTTACACCTGGCACCCCAAACTTACCTACCACACCCTCTTTAAATGTTTCTCCTACTTTAGCATTCAGGTCCCCTACCACAATTACTCTCTCACTTGGTTCAAAGGTTCCTATACATTCGCTTAACATCTCCCAAAATCTCACTTCTCTACACTCCTCTCTTCTCCAGGTGCATACACGCTTATTATGACCCACTTTTCACATCCGACCCTTATTTTAATCCACATAATCCTTGAATTTACACATTTATATTCCCTCTTCTCCTTCCATAATTGGTCCTTCAACATTACTGCTACCCCTTCCTTAGCTCTAACTCTCTCAGCTACTCCTGACTTAATCCCATTTATTTCCCCCCACTGAAACTCCCCTACCCCCTTCAGCTTTGTTGCACTTAGGGCCAGGACATCCAACTTCATTTCATTCATAACATCAGAAATCATCTGTTTCTTGTCATCCGCACTACATCCACGCACATTCAAGCATCCCAGTTTTATAAAGTTTTTCTTCTTCTCTTTTTTAGTAAATGTCTACAGGAGAAGGGGTTACTAGCCCATTGCTTCCGGCATTTTAGTCGCCTCATACGACACGCATGGCTTACGGAGGAAAGATTCTTTTCCACTTCCCCATGGACAACAGAGAGAAAAAAACAAGAACAAGAGCTACTAAAAAAAGAAGAGAAACCCTAGATGTGTGTATGTATGTATGTTTGTGGTTCGGACATGTAGAGAGAGAATGGAGCGAAACAGAGTGAAGGCGGGGTAGGGGTCGGCCTAGGAAAGGTTGGAGGGAGGGGGTAAAGGAGGTTTTGTGTGCGAGGGGCTTGGACTTCCAGCAGGCATGCGTGAGCTTGTTTGATAGGAGTGAGTGGAGACAAATGGTTTTTAATACTTGACGTGCTGTTGGAGTGTGAGCAAAGTAACATTTATAAAGGGGTTCAGGGAAACCGGCAGGCCGGACTTGAATCCTGGAGATTGGAAGTACAGTGCCTGCACTCTGAAGGAGGGGTGTTAATGTTGCAGTTTAAAAACTGTAGTGTAAAGCACCCTTCTGGCAAGACAGTGATGGAGTGAATGATGGTGAAAATTTTCCTTTTTCGGGCCACTCTGCCTTGGTGGGAATCGGCCAGTGTGATAATAAATATAATATATATATATATATATATATATATATATATATATATATATATATATATATATATATATATATATATATATATATATTATATATATATATATATATATGCATGTGCTTGCCTGTGTAGTGTGACCTAAGTATAAGTAGAAGTAGCAAGACATACCTGTTATCCAGCGTGTTTATGAGACAGAAAAGAGACACCAGCAATCCTACCATCATGTAAAACAGTTACAGGTTTCTGTTTCACAGTCACCTGGCAGGACGGTAGTACCTCCCTGGGAGGTTGCTGTCTACCAACCTACTAAAAAGGACAACAACATATAAACTGCATTAGTAAGAGCGACGGGTCTGTGCCATATGAGAGGTGTCCTGGCCCGAAGTACCTGGCAGCTTTCTATTGAAGAGGGAGAATTCCCATGGGACCGAATAAGTTTGAGATGTAGGAAGACCACAAGCGCAGTAAGTTATTAATTCTGAAGCAAAAGAAAATAGATGTCATCATGTCCGTCTGCTTCAGTTGGCTTACAGAAAGTGATGTGAGTTACAGGAGTGTGAAGGGCAAGTGATAACCTCCTTGAAAGTGAGAGGTAAAATCGGATGGTGCCGACTTCCTCCTAGGTTTGCAATGAAAGAATTAAAGAAAGAAATGTAGCCCTTAAAATATACTTTGCATCAACGTCAACTGCAAGAACGAGAGCAGCATTTGAAGGGAACTTGTCAGCGAACCTCTGTATTTTTTTCCAGACTGTGTACATAGAAGTAGCTATAGTGATAGAGACACGTAAGATCAACAAACACGTTTCGCCACCCATACAATACGACTGGTATGCACTCTCATCAGTTCAAAAACTAGGAACTGGATCGAAGTTTTGTTGTAACTGTAGCTGTTCGAGGTAGAACGTTTCGAACGCACAGGACAAGCACATTCAGGAGGCTACCAGGATACACACATAACCGAGGGTCAGGGGATGGCAATCGTTCCTGCAGACAGAACAGAGATGGTACGGAGGCGCAACAACTCGTCTGCAGATAATAAAGCAGGAGGAACATCAGGAAAAGAGGCATGGTGCGTATATGAAGCACCCAGTAGGCTCGCTCAAACTGCCAACGGGACGAATGAGGAGGTCGGGAATAGGAATGAGAACCAATGAGAAGAGGGAAGTGATCTGTCATGAAAATCATTTAACACTGGCCAAAGTCCAGTGATATAGAAGACCATATAGAGAAAGCTATACAGGAGAGAGTTCGAGTGGCCGCAGCAAGCAGTGTGACGCAAGATGTGGAAGAGGGAGCTGGAGTGGAGAGACATTGGCAGCTGCCAGGATGAGAAGAGATGGAGAGAGAGAGAGAGTAGCTGTCTCATGGGAAGAAGTAATCCAAGTGGGGACAGAGGGAGGGGAGGCGGTCTCCCACCCAGGCAGGATGAGCAGAAAAACAAACACTTTCACGGAACGCGTTAATTATAACTAGATCAGACTGTCACTGTTTAAGGTGCCTTCAGTAGTATCTGTTTTGCCCGTCTTTACAATATTACAATCACGTCTGCTATTAAGAAAATGGAGCTGCTTATTCAGCGTGTGTGTCACATTCTACACCCACTTTTAGCAATAATTCTCATATTCCTTTTAAGAATTATTGACTATTGTATATAAAATAAAGTCATTGCATTTCCAGGTGTACACAGCCAAAAAGAACGGGACACCTGTGACTGTCTGGGGGACAGGAAGACCTCTGAGACAGTTTGTGCACTTTCTGGACTTGGCAAAGCTGATAATATGGACTCTGCGAGAATATAAGGAAATAAGTCCCATTCTACTCTCAGGTAAGTTTATATATAGTCAGGAAAAAAAAAATTGGCAGTGAAGTGTAGCATTCTTTAATGTTATATAATATACTAAATGAAACAGGAAATATTTTTTCTTGTTTTGGATAAATAATAATATTTACGACATAAATCCGGACATCATAACCAGCAGGAAGACCACTGCAGCCGACCTTTATTTTTTATAATATTTAATATCCTGCCTAAATGTGTCACCTTCCACAGTGTGGAGGTGGGGGTATCACTGAGTCACCTTCCACAGTGTGGAGGTGTGGGTATCACTGAGTCACCTTCCACAGTGTGGAGGTGTGGGTATCACTGAGTCACCTTCCACAGTGTGGAGGTGTGGGTATCACTGAGTCACCTTCCCACAGTGTGGAGGTGTGGGTATCACTGAGTCACCTTCCCACAGTGTGGAGGTGTGGGTATCACTGTGTCACCTTCCACAGTGTAGAGGTGGGGGTATCACTGTGTCACCTTCCACAGTGTGGAGGTGGGGGTATCACTGAGTCACCTTCCACAGTGTGGAGGTGTGGGTATCACTGAGTCACCTTCCCACAGTGTGGAGGTGTGGGTATCACTGAGTCACCTTCCCACAGTGTGGAGGTGTGGGTATCACTGAGTCACCTTCCCACAGTGTGGAGGTGTGGGTATCACTGAGTCACCTTCCCACAGTGTGGAGGTGTGGGTATCACTGAGTCACCTTCCCACAGTGTGGAGGTGGGGGTATCACTGAGTCACCTTCCCACAGTGTGGAGGTGGGGGTATCACTGAGTCACCTTCCACAGTGTGGAGGTGGGGGTATCACTGAGTCACCTTCCCACAGTGTAGAGGTGGGGGTATCACTGTGTCACCTTCCCACAGTGTGGAGGTGGGGTATCACTGAGTCACCTTCCCACAGTGTAGAGGTGGGGGTATCACTGTGTCACCTTCCCACAGTGTGGAGGTGTGGGTATCACTGAGTCACCTTCCCACAGTGTGGAGGTGGGGGTATCACTGTGTCACCTTCCCACAGTGTGGAGGTGTGGGTATCACTGAGTCACCTTCCCACAGTGTGGAGGTGTGGGTATCACTGTGTCACCTTCCCACAGTGTGGAGGTGGGGGTATCACTGAGTCACCTTCCACAGTGTGGAGGTGGGGGTATCACTGAGTCACCTTCCCACAGTGTGGAGGTGGGGGTATCACTGTGTCACCTTCCCACAGTGTGGAGGTGTGGGTATCACTGTGTCACCTTCCCACAGTGTAGAGGTGGGGGTATCACTGAGTCACCTTCCCACAGTGTAGAGGTGGGGGTATCACTGAGTCACCTTCCCACAGTGTAGAGGTGGGGGTATCACTGAGTCACCTTCCCACAGTGTAGAGGTGGGGGTATCACTGAGTCACCTTCCCACAGTGTAGAGGTGGGGGTATCACTGAGTCACCTTCCCACAGTGAGGAGGTGTGGGTATCACTGAGTCACCTTCCACAGTGTGGAGATGTGAGTATCACTGAGTCACCTTCCACAGTGTGGAGGTGTGGGTACCACTGAGTCACCTTCCACAGTGTGGAGGTGTGGGTATCACTGAGTCACCATCCCACAGTGAGGAGGTGTGGGTATCACTGAGTCACCTTCCACAGTGTGGAGATGTGAGTATCACTGAGTCACCTTCCACAGTGTGGAGGTGTGGGTACCACTGAGTCACCTTCCACAGTGTGGAGGTGTGGGTATCACTGAGTCACCTTCCACAGTGTGGAGGTGTAGGTATCACTGTGACACCTTCCACAGTGTGGAGATGTGAGTATCACTGAGTCACCTTCCACAGTGTGGAGGTGTGGGTATCACTGAGTCACCATCCCACAGTGAGGAGGTGTGGGTATCACTGAGTCACCTTCCACAGTGTGGAGATGTGAGTATCACTGAGTCACCTTCCACAGTGTGGAGGTGTGGGTATCACTGAGTCACCATCCCACAGTGAGGAGGTGTGGGTATCACTGTGACACCTTCCACAGTGTGGAGATGTGAGTATCACTGAGTCACCTTCCACAGTGTGGAGGTGTGGGTATCACTGAGTCACCATCCCACAGTGAGGAGGTGTGGGTATCACTGAGTCACCTTCCACAGTGTGGAGATGTGAGTATCACTGAGTCACCTTCCCACAGTGTGGAGGTGTGGGTATCACTGAGTCACCTTCCACAGTGTGGAGATGTGGGTATCACTGAGTCACCTTCCCACAATGTGGAGGTGTGGGTATCACTGAGTCACCTTCCCACAGTGTGGAGGTGTGGGTATCACTGAGTCACCTTCCCACAGTGTGGAGGTGTGGGTATCCCTGAGTCACCTTCCCACAGTGTGGAGGTGTGGGTATCACTGAGTCACCATCCCACAGTGTGGAGGTGTGGGTATCACTGATTCACCTTCCCACAGTGTGGAGGGGTAGGTATCACTGAGTCACCTTCCAAAGTGTGGAGGTGTGGGTATCGCTAAGTCACCTTCCCACAGTGTGGAGGTGTGGGTATCACTGACTCACCTTCCAAAGTGTGGAGGTGTGGGTATCCCTCAACACCTTCCACAGTGTGGAGCTGTGGGTATCACTGTGACACCTTCCACGGTGTGGAGCTGTGGGTATCACTGTGACACCTTCCACAGTGCGGAGGTGTGGGTATCACTGAATCACCTTCCCACAGTGTGGAGATGTGGGTATCACTGTAATACCTTCCACAATGTGGAGGTGTGGGTATCACTGAGTCACCTTCCCTCTGTGGAGGTGTGGGTATCACTGAGTCACCTTCCCTCTGTGGAGGTGTGGGTATCACTAAGTCAACTTCCCACAGTGTGGACGTGTGGGTATCACTGTGACACCTTACCACAGTGTGTAGGAGTGGATATCACTGAGTCACCTTCCCACAGTGTGTAGGTGTGGGTATCACTGTGACACCTTCCCACAATATGGAGGTGCGGGTATCACTGAGTCACCATCCCACTGTGGAGGAGTGGGTATCGGTGAGTCACCTTCCCACAGTGTGGTGGTGTGGGTATCACTGAGCCACCTTCCACAATGTGTTGGTGTGGGTATCCCTGAGTCACCTTCCCACAGTGTGTAGGTGTGGGTATCCCTGAGTCACCTTCCCACAGTGTGTAGGTGTGGGTATCCCTGAGTCACATTCCCACAGTGTGTAGGTGTGGGTATCCCTGAGTCACCTTCCCACAGTGTGGAGGTGTGGGTATCACTGAGTCACCTTCCCACAGTGTGTAGGTGTGGGTATCCCTGAGTCACCTTCCCACAGTGTGGAGATGTGGGTATCACTGAGTCACCTTCCCACAGTGTGGATGTATGCGTATCACTGTGACACCTTCCTACAGTGTGTTGGTGTTTGTATCACTGTGACAACTTTCCACAGTGTGTAGGTGATGGTATCACTGTGACACCTTCCCACAGGGTGGAGGTGTTGGTATCACTGTGACACCTTCCTAAAGTGTGTAGGTGATGGTATCACTGTGACACCTTCCCACAGTGTGTAGGTGTTGGTATCACTGTGACACCTTCCTAAAGTGTGTAGGTGATGGTATCACTGTGACACCTTCCCACAGGGTGGAGGTGTTGGTATCACTGTGACACCTTCCCACAGTGTGGAGGTGTGGGTATCACTATGACACCTTCCCACAGTGTAGAGGTGTGGGTATCACTGTGACACCTTTCCACAGTGTGGAGGTGTGAGTATTACTGCGACACCTTCCCTCAGTGTGGAGATGTGGGTATCACTGTGACATCTTACCACAGTGTAGAGGTGTGGGTATCACTGTGACACCTTCCCACAGTGTGGAGGTGTGGGTATCACTGTGACACCTTCCACAGTGTGGAGGTGTGGGTATCGCTGTGACTCATTCCCACAGTGTGGAGATGTGGGTATCACTGTGACACCTTCCCACAGTGTGGAGGTGTGCGAATCACTGTGACACCTTCCACAGTGTGGAGGTGTGGGTATCACTGTGACACCTTCCCACAGTGTGGAGGTGTGGGTATCACTGTGACACCTTCCCACAGTGTGGAGATGTGGGTATCACTGTGACACCTTCCACAGTGTGGAGGTGTGGGTATCACTGTGACACCTTCCCACAGTGTGGAGGTGTGGGTATCACTGTGACACCTTCCCACAGTGTGGAGGTGTGGGTATCACTGTGACACCTTCCCACAGTGTGGAGGTGTGGGTATCACTGTGACACCTTCCACCAGTCTTCTTTGCAGGATTGCTGTTTAACTGATTCCACACTAAATACCTATTTTAATTAACTTTTGGTAACTGAAGAACACGGCTCGTTACTCGATCAATGCTAACCTCACTAGTTTAAAATCCCACCTACCATGGGTTCAAACCCCACTCGGTCTTTTCTTGTAGTGTCCCGTTTACACTGTCGAAACGTTCACGTGGATAAATGATTTAAAAAGCCGACAAGTTGATAAATGACTCATTTGTGCAATATATGGGTATCTTTATTCTGGAAACGTTTCGCCAACCAGTGACTTCTTCAGTCTAATGCAGAAAAAGATGGAAGATGAGGAGGAGTTTGAGTCCAGGCTGAGGGACTGATTACCTCAAACTCAGCTTTATCTTCCACCTACTTCTTCATTGAACTGAAGAAGCCTCTGACTAGTAAATACCATATATATTTTGTATATGTATCAACAGTAATTGTATATCATACCGCCGCCAGTCTTAACTCTTTCTATAGGACAAATATTCAGTCACTAGAGATCTATCCACTAAAATTTGTAACTTTCTTCTCTAGTTCAATTTTGTAACTCTTGCTTTCCATGTTGATAGTATTGCAGTGCCCAACTGCAGGTATATACCTTAGATACACCAGTGATGAGATCAGGGAGTGCATATACTCCCGGAGCCCGATCATCAGCCAGGCTCGTCCGGTGCTTGCCTCACCACCCAGGTAACACTACCAGTAGTGAGTGAATATTACCACACAGGTAACACTACCAGTAGTGAGTGAATATTACCACCCAGGTAA